GGAGAAAGAAGAAAGGTCTTTAGCCACCAATCACTTAGAAAGGGACCGGACTCCACATTCCAACTCTGTTCAGTTCCAATCTCAACCCTAACCCTAGCCTTGACCTAGTCCCAGGTCCAGCCAACCTTATCATGACAAAGGAGTATCAAGATCTTCAGCATCTGGACGACGAGGAGAATGATCATCAGCTCAGAAGAGGTGAGGGGACACCTTCCCCCATTTCTGAAAGGCAAGCATTAGGTGGCTCTGGCTCCCTCACCTCATCTCCTGCTTCTTTCTGTGATCCCTGACTCTATCTCTGGGTCTTCTCCCATCACAAGAACACGGTATCTGAGCCACCTCTTTTAGAGGAGGTGCAGGGTGTAGGGGCTTCTGCATGCCTCCCAATCCTTGCCATGTCACCCACTTGTCAGGACCTTGGGGAGGGGGTGGGCCCAGGGATGTGGGTGTAACAGGAGGAAGTTAGGCCTCCTCCTCTTTTCCTCTTCCAACACCTTGGCGTGCTCTCTCTCTGTCTGTCTGTCTCTGTCTGTTTCTCTCTCTCTCTCTCTCTCTCTCTCTCTCTCTCTCTCTCTCTCTCTCCCTCTCTCTTTGTGGGGTGTCTAGGATCGGTATAGTCAAAGGGTAAGATTTCTGTGAAGAGGCTGAGGGATCTCTGATCTGAGAGAGGATGAGGCCCTCCTACATCAAAAACAGCCCGCCCCCCCTTTCAGGTCAGAGAGAGATTTTGTTTGGGCTTAGTGAGGATACAGTTATTAGGGTATGGGCGTGCCCTTTGACGGGGGAAGGGGCTGCAGGGGAGGAGAAAATAGAGAGAACCCACATTCCAGCTCACAGGGACTGGGCTCCCTGGCTGGGAGCAACTTGAAGGACCTGAAGTCTGGCTACTCCGCCTTCTCTTCCTGCACCCAGCCAAAGAGCAGTGGAATTAATAGGGAGAGAAAGAAACCCCCTTCTCTTGCCTCACTCCCACCGGTCTCCAGCTCAAAAACTCCATCCTCAAGGCTGAGGTTCATCAGCTGCACTGACACAGTCAAGCCACTAGATGTCAGCAAAGCCCCAGGGCCTGGGCAGGGCTAGGGCAGGTCACAGCTTTGCATCTATCCGATCCGTAACCCCCTTCCCTTTCCCTCTTCCCTTTCCCACCTCTAGTAGCCTCTGACTCCTTGGGGGTCACCCACTGCCCACACTTCTTAATCTATATGGTTCCTCCTAGTCTACTAGAGGAGCCTTAGCCTGCTCTCCTTAGGACCCCAGAGCTACCCCAGTCTCCCCTTTGTCCCTGAGACCCTGAAGTCCTCTCCTCTTGCAGGGCTGCCTCCTCCCCAGCGGCTCTTTCAGCGTCTCTGCTCTGGACCCCGCCTCTTACTGCTCTCCCTGGGCCTCAGCCTCCTGCTGCTAGTGGTTGTCTGTGTGATTGGATCCCAGAGTAGGTGCCCCGGGGGTGGGCTGGGAAGGGAGCAATGTTGGGGGTTAGTGGAAATGTGGTGGGGGTAATGCTGGCTGCTGTGATGGTGGACACAGACCTCTCATTTTGTCCTATCCACACCCTCTCCTGCCCAGACTCCAAGCTGCAGGAGGAGCTGCGGTCCTTGAGAGAGACGTTCAGCAATTTCACAGTGAGCACGGAGGCCGAGGTCAAGGACCTGCGTACTCAGGGTGAGGGGTGCCAGGGCTGAGGCTGAGGGGCTGTGGAACACTAGGGACTTGGGATACTGAGCAAGTCTCTCCCCAGGAGGAGGTGTGGGCAGAAAGATGAAATCCCTGGAGTCCCAGCTGGAGAAGCAGCAGCAGGACCTGAGTGAAGGTCAGAGAGGGAGCATGTGTGAGAGCACATGTATGTAGGATACAGCGGGTTTCTCAGTCCAAATCAAGGGGCCTCGTGGCAGGGGCATTTGTGATTGGCCTTTGGTCCTGCATACAGATGCAGTCCTTTCCCAACCCTCAGTGTTCATACTGACCTCCTTTCCTTCTCCACTATCATCTTCTCCTCCCCCTCTGCCTCCTCAGATCACTCCAGCTTGCTGCTCCACGTGAAATCCTTTGTGTCTGACATTCAAAGCCTAAGCTGTCAGCTGGCCATCCTCCAGGGCAATGGTGAGGGATGCCCAGACCCGCTTTTCTGCCCACTTCCTCTCCTGGAAGCACCTCAGCTCCTTCACCCACCCTCTGTGCTACCCCAGGCTCTGAAAAGACCTGCTGCCCTGTTAACTGGCTGGAGCATGAGGGCAGCTGCTACTGGTTCTCTCGTACTGGGAAGCCCTGGCCTGAGGCTGAGAAGTACTGCCAGCTGGAGAACGGGCACTTGGTGGTGGTCAGCTCCTGGGAAGAGCAGGTGAGGTCTCTGGAGGGCTCATCTGGGAGGCTGGCTGGTCAACAGAGAGGTCACCACCCTCCTCTCTCTCCAGAAATTTGTCCAGCACCATATGGGCCCTGGAAACACATGGATAGGCCTCACCGACCAAAATGGGCCCTGGAGATGGGTGGATGGGACAGACTACGAGACAGGCTTCAAGTGAGTGTCTGCGTGCTGCACTTTGTCCTTCTGTCCTGGGCCCAGCTGTCCCAGCTGGGTGGGTCACAGGGTGAGAGGGACTCCTTGGGCTCTTCTGAGGGTTTGGCCTCCTGGGGCCCACATTTGTCTGATCTCTTTAGGAACTGGAGACCAGAGCAGCCGGATGACTGGTATGGACACGGGCTTGGGGGAGGCGAGGACTGTGCCCACTTCACAGATGATGGCCGCTGGAATGATGACGTCTGCCAGAGGCCCTACCGCTGGGTCTGTGAGACACAGCTGAACAGGGCTAATTAGGAGCCTCCTCTCCCCTAATTTATTTCCTCAATGCCTTCACTTGCCTAAGGGGCCTGGTTTGGGGATCCTCCTATCTGGAGGCCTCCTGTACCTTCTCGGGGATTTTCATCTAGGTTTTAAGGGAAGGTGAAAGGATGGTGTCTGAGGAATGTAGAATGATGTTTGGAGGGGTGGGGATATTGAAACCCATGCCACTTTCTGTAGTTTACTGGTTATTATTGTCAACTGTTTTTTAGAGTAAAAAGAAGAGAAATATACTAAATATTCTGAGTTGTCTAGTTATTGGATATTAGGAGTGGGGAGTGGGGTGTGGTACGAGGAAGCCTTGGGCAGGCAGTGGAGATATTGGGAGAACTGTATCAGCCTATTTATAGGCATGTGATTTAGGGCAAGTTACTCTGCTCTCTGAATTTTGGCTGGAAAATAGTGTTGTTACTGGGACCATTCTACCTCCAGCAACTTCCCAGGAACAGAACCACCCTAATGTGTGGAGTGCTTCAAAAGCTTTGAATGCAACTCCTTGGTGTCTGTTGCATGCATTACAGAAGCAAAATCCATAGGTAACAAATATAATTAATCAAAGCTGAGCCTCAACCAAGAGTCACCAAAAACATGAGGAAAACCAGTTCCATGGAAAGGAAGACTCCAGATAAATAGAGCCCACAACCCAGGATGGGAGTTAACAGGACAAACACATAAAGACTTTACAGATACTTGCAGGAGTGTCTGGCTGGTCTACAGAGAGGCCATCACTCTCCGCTCTCCCCAGAAATTTGTCTAGCACAATATGGACCCTGTGAACACATGGATGGACCTCACTGACCAAAATGGGCTCTGGAGATGGGTGGATGGGACAGACGATGAGATGGCCTTCAAGTGAGTGTGTTCACACTGCACTCTGTCCCTCCGGCCTGGGCCCAGTTGCCCCAGCTGGGCTGGTCAACAAAAATCAACAAAAATCGAGAAAGTATTAGTCACAAATAAGACCTCAACTAAACCTAAAAAGGAGCAATTCTCTAATCACAATAAAACACAGTTACATATGAACACCAAAGTAGAACCAAAAAAGATCTACAACACATGCATTTCTCACCATCTAGACAACTTTAAGAGAAAAATAAAAGTAAAGTTACATGAATTAGAAATGAACAAAAAGGGGCTGGCCAAGTGGCTTGCTGGTTAAGAGCTGGCTTGGGAGCGTGAGCTCTGAGCAGCAGGGCCACCGGTTTGGTTCTCACATGGGCCAGTGACTCTGAGCTCTCTATAGCTANCAGCTCCAAGTTAAGTAGTGTCTTCAATCTAGTTGTGGAGGGCGCAGCTCCTTGGCCCATGTGGGAATCAAACTGGCAACCCTGGTGCTATGGGCCTGCACTCCAACCACCTGAACTAACCAGCCTCCCCAAGGTATATATTCTTAAAGAACTAAATGTAAAAGGTGGATGAGTTCTCAGAACGCATAGATCTACCATCATTGTGGCATAGTTTTGTTTTTAGTTATGTTTTAGTTTCTGAGGATTAACTCTAGTGTTTTAAAGAGGGCTAGCTTGTGAACCTGATGTTCCATGTTGTTTGTTTGGCTTTCTTCACAGTGTTTTATCGCCTCTGATTCCCATTCTAAAGTTATTGGCTTTGGGAGGTGTTCTTCAGCGCTGGTCCAAGCACTGCTCGCTAACCAATGGGTTTGGGGACCGTGGTTACAGGCACTGCTTTCTGTATATGTGTACAGCTTTCTGCAGTTTTACACACTGAGCACCCCTGTACAACCAGAGTCCAGATCAAGAAGCTGAACATTTCCTTCACCCAAGAAGCCCCCTGTACTCCCTTCCAGTCACTATTCCTTCAGGGATAGCCACTGTTCTGACCAAAACAGAGTAGGTTTTTTGCCTGAATAAACCAGATTGTAAGGGATGCTAAAATAACAGCGTAATAGTCTCCGAAACTACTGGCCACAGTCCAAGTACGTGCAAACAACATGGGCCTTTCTAAGACAAAAGAGGGTACAGCCAGGGCTTTCAAACTTTATGCAATGGACATGTTCCATATAACGTAAAATTCACCAAACACGTTTTCTCATGAAATAACTGTAACATAGGATTTGCATGATTTCACATTTGGGGCCTAAAGTGAAACTTATGGATATCTTTAGTATTGCCCAATTTCTAATTTAGCATACTTTGAATTCACACACTCCTCTCTGAACACAACCCTCTATACACCCCCCCCCCAGGGCTGTGAGGGACCACATTTTAGCAAATCTGGCACCCCATGGTGACAGCACAAGGTGCTAGAGTCAGGCCGCCCCAATTCCAGTCCTTCCTCTGCTGCTTTCTTGTGAGGTGACCCTGGGTAAGCTCTTACCTTCTGAGCCTCAGTTTCCTCATCTGTAGATGCGCTCTGGGGATAATGAGAAGAGTTAATGAATGAAAAGCCCCATGCACACAGTAGGAGTCAATGTAGGTTTGTTGGCACCAATCCTGGTTGAGGTGGGGAAAGCCTACTCTTCTGCTCTCCTCTCTATGCCCCCCATGCTGCTGGGGAACTTTATTCCAGGAGAGTGAATGAAGCCAGTCAGGCCGAGCTGGGGAGTCTGGTGGTGAGCCCCCAAGGAAGCTGGGGCCTAGGTTCAAATGCCAGGGTCACAGGCCCAGGTTGGGCAAGAGCAAAGAACGGGTCCCTCTGATCCAGGTCAGGGATATTTGGAGACACCAACAATTCTGGGAATTTAGAGGCAGGAAGTGACGGGGGAGGGGGGG